GTTCATCCAGCTCTGCACCTTGTTGTCCCACACAGATAGCTGCCTGCTTTCCAGATATAGCCTAGGACCGAGGCAGTACACACAAAAATAACAGAAAGAGAGAAAAGTAATAGATAACGGAATAGAAATATAAAGTGCCCCACATCGTAAATTTGTGTTGTTTCTCCAATTGTCTCAAAGTGGTTTGCATATAGTTTCTTGTGGGTTTGTTTCATTGTGTCCATCTTTGAAGAACATTAGTCAACTGATGTTAACTAAGCTGTTCTAGACTTTCTCTTTTGCTTACTAGAATGGGAATTATAAAGCTTTCTTTGTTATATACAGTCCTGCCTTTGCTGCTGGTTCCAGAGGAAGACAATGATGCACGTGTTGCCCTTGGATGAAAAGCAGTCCTGCATCAAATGGAAGTCAAATGGTATCGACCATGGGCTAGACCACAGTAATTCACGTTCCAGTAATAAATACAGTTCATCCTAAAACAGAGGCCGTGTTCCACACATCCATCTCCAGAAAGAATGCTGGCAGTGCCAAATACTGTGCAAAAAGATCTTATTGTTATCACGAATGACGAAAGTCCAAATTGAAAATCATAGAGCTTTCCCAAAGAAAGGGCAGACGCTGCAGTCTATTTGAGATAAATACATCATGTAAGGAAACACCCATCTTAAAAACTCACGCAGCCTTTAAGCATTCTCTGCAGCCTAAAGAGTAAATAAGGATGGAAGGAAATGAAGACAGACCAGCTGATAGGGAAAACCATTGCTAAGGCACTTGAATGGTCTAACTCTGCACTTTTGGGTCACCACATCATCCCAAACTCTTAATCATTTGCAAAATGTATTACAGATTAATGAGCCTGAGCCACAAGATAAGATAACCAGCTTTCAAGTATCATATATTATTTGATAATACGTGGGTATCAGTAAGTTAAATAGGACATAGTCTCTAGATCCTCTTAACCTTTCACGAGCAATGGTCATAAAATGGATTTTGGGCCGGACCCATTGCCCTTTTTACTTTAATTGCATTTTATTCATAATTGCATTTTACTCATATAGCTGCATACATGGTAAAGATAATCTATAACACCATCATTGGATGTTGCATCAACATCATAATGGCATGTGATACCAGTAGACACACAGCAATTATTTGTATAAGTAAAGCACTTAAATCACATTATTTAAAAAATGCAACTGAGCTGTGAATAGTCACACGTGCTTTGAAACCCATAACAAAAACATTGATCCTCCGCAACATTCTGTAACGAAGGTTTTGATGTGCTGAAGTTGACCTTGTTAATTTGCATTGCTGTTCCTCAATGAATATTCTCTCATTGAAAGAAGAACTAGGATGGAAATTTCTTCTTGCTTTGCTATTTGGAGGAAAATTGTGAATGCAGCAACAGCAAAGATGTTTAAAATTTCACTACAACTAGCAAAAAGGAAACTTGCCTCCCCCCCTACCCCACCTTCTGCCTGCTGTCAATACCATACAGCAAGAATTATGTTAGGACTTACAACTGTTAGGACTTATCTTTTACCATCATGGCTCTAACCATAAGTGCAAAAAGCTTCATTTTCATTGAACACGCCAGATTTTCAGCAAATTAAGTCACATCTTTCCTGTCCATTTTTAAAATGCATTTGACAACAAGGTTTTCAGTATTATTTTGTTAAAATAGTAAATGTATATTTTTAAAAAATCATTTCAAAATACACAATTATTTAACATTTAATTAATGCATAGCTGGATTCAGCGTTATTACATCATTGATGAGAATTAAGTTCTTTCTGAATTTCTTGTATATATTGTTTATACGACACCAACTTTCTTGAATTGAGTTAGCTCTAGTGCATTTCTAAATATAAATTGTCCTGACTACAGTTTCCTTATTCCAGCAATTATTTCTGCTACTCTTATATGCCAGAAATGTAATTGAAGCGAATAATTGTCCCACATGTGAAAATGTGACAATAACGTTTTCATTCTGAAAGTGACATTTTATGCTTATTTTTCTCTTCTGTGTATTTCTTATATTCATTTTATTGTAAAGCATTGTGTTTTCTTTCTAATGCCTTTAATACAATACAAATGTGAATGTTTCATACAAAATAAATTGTGATTTATTATTTTTGCCTTAAATTTGAAACTAATTTCTTCAGTGAGAAGATTCAATCAACAACGAAATATCAATTTTTATTTGATTGTCCACCATGTAAACTGCTACAAAAACAAAACTACAGTGTAAATAAATATCAAACTGCAATGTGAATGATTATCATTAATAATTTAAGAACCGGAAAAGCAAAATGCTGGTAACACACAGCAGGTTTATTAGCATTATGTGAGCAGATAATAGGAGTCGCTTCTGTCAGCATAATTTTTAAAACTAAGGAAGATTAGAAAATTATAGAAAAAGATTCTATTGCTTTCTTTTGGACTTCCTTCTGCATCACTGGTGAAAGCCATCAGACCGTAACTGCCCCACTGTCAGTAATAATACCTTTCCAGAATTATCTCTAAGGATTGTTCCATGTCCTCTTCTAATAGAATCGCACTATCATTTGAAAAACTTAACACGAAATAAGTTGTTTAGTATCCCTACTATATCACCTTTCTCAACAAGCATGAATGGTTATAACATCTCCAACTACATTTTTTTATTTTTGAGAAGACGGTACTTTTTTTTTGGCCATCTGTCAGCTCTTTTCCATCTTCTTTTAGGAAAGTTCTCGTAGTTATATTGTGGATTTCAGAATATTAGAGTGGTCGGGGGTGAGAAGGTTTTGAAACTGGCCTCATTTCATGTCCAACCCTCCCTCTCATCCCCGCCTCTTTGGCCTGACACAACCTGTCCATCTTCTTCCCCACCTATCTGCCCCACTCTTCCCACTGACCGATCCCCACCACTCCCGACCTGCATCCACATATCGCCATCCCACCTACCTTCCCCCAGCCCCACCCCTCCTCCCTCTATTTATTTCCCAGCTCCCTTCCCCCTCCCAAGTCCAGATGAAGGGTCCTAACCCGAAATGTCTACTTTGTGTTCCTCTGATGCTGTCTGATCTGCTGTGTTCCTCCAACTCCACACTGTATTGACTGACTCCAGCATCTGCAGTTCTTGCTATCTCCGATAGTTTATTTTATACATTTTCTTATTCCAGATGGTCTACAGCTGATACCTTATGCTTTTTACATTTCATTCTGGTTAATGCTGGATGGATCATACCTTATCTCACTGAGCTGTGTTTTCACCAACCACTAATTTTCACATGAATTTCAACAGTTTAGTTGTAGCTTTTTGCAATTGTCCTGTTTATTAATCATTAATTCCATTTCAGGGGCTCAGTTAGCTTAGTTGGCTGCATGGTTAGTTTGCAGTGCAGAGTAATGCAAACAGCGTGGATTCAATTTCTGAGGCTACCATGAAGGACTCTTTAATCAACCTCTTCCTTAACCTGAGGCATGATGATCCTGAGGTTAGACCACCATCAGTTATCTCTCTCTGATGTGAAAGCAGCTTATGGTCCATTAAGATTTTGATGATTTTATTCTAGCCCACAGTGCTTTCTAGAAAGGAAATCAAGCTTTGCCCTTTGTTAAACCAAAAGCATTCTAATTTAGGACATTCAAAAGAATATTTTACGTTTCTACCACTTAATTCATCTTAGTCCTGCCCTGACTTTTAATGGTCTAAATCGCCCATACCTGGTCATATCACATTTTTTCTAAACTGTATGTACATGTCTCCCTTTCCTTCATCTCCACCATATTTCATCCTGATGCATAAATGTATCCATAAGGATTTGCTATCCCTAAAATGTTACTTTATAGCAGCATAATATAATCTTTTAATTATTAGTTATATTCCCAAAAGTAACGTTCTCCTGTTTCTACCCCTCCTGAAAACATCATATCCAGATAAGATCAATCTTCCATTTCTGTCAAAACCAAAACATCTCTGTTATAGACATCATATTATATGCCTCTTTAGTCATTAATTCTAATTCTCCAGTTTTCTTTGAATGCTATTTGTTCGTATACAGGTACAGCAAGTGATTTGGAAGACAAATGGAATGTTGTTTATTGTAAAGGGTATGGACTTTACAAGTAAAGATCATTTGCTACAGTTATACATGGTATTATTGAGACCATATCTGGAGTATGGTGTGCACTTTTGTTCTGCTTGTTTGTAAAAAAGTGTCAATACTTTGGAGACAGTTTGAAGAACGTGAGTAGGTGCAGGGTGGGGTGGTATTATCTTATGCTGGAAGGTTGAACAGGCTGGAAGAATGCACAATAATCTTGGAAATATAAAGATCTAATCAGAGCTTTAAAGTGTGGATGCTAAATAAATGTTTCATCTTTTGAGAAAGACTAGAACAAGCAATGTAAATCTAAGAGTTCTCCTATTTAGAAAGGGACAACAAAGGTTTCTTTGTCACAGACGGGTGTGATTCCTTAAGACTTTCTTTCTCATGTCATGGGGAGGCTGGGTAATTGAAAATTTTTCAAGCAGGGGTGGATAGATTCTTGATGAACGAAATGATTGTTGGGATGGACTGGGCAGTACAGTGGCTCAGTAGTTAGCAGTGCTGCCTCACAGCGCCAGGAACCCTGGTTGAATTCCTGCCTTGGGTGGCTGTGTGGACTCTGCACATTCTCCTGTGCCTGTGTGTGTTTCCACCGGCTGCTCTGGTTTCTTCCCACAGCCCAAAGATATGCAGGTTGGATGAATTGGCTGTGCTAAATTACCCCATAGTGCCCAGGGACGGGCAGGCTGGATGGATTATCCATGGTAACATAGGCTTATGGGGACAGTGTGGGGGTCTGGGTGTGGGTGGGATGCTCGATGGGCCAAATGGCTCATTTCCACACTGTAGGGATTCTGTGATCGTATGACTTGTAATACCCTGCCTCCCCACGACATGGGAGAGCCTTAAAGAATCATGTCACTCTGAGAGAAAAACATCTTTGTTGTCTCTGTTTTAAATTGGAGAACTCTTATTTTTAAACTGTGGCTTGTTCTAGTCTCCCTCACAAGGTGAAACAGTTTAAACTTTCTTCTACAGTACTCTTAACAACGACACCACTCTCCCCTCAGCTGAAACCTATCCAAACTGCTCCTATTACATAACTAATGCTAATCTCTACAAAGGCAAACTTTCCTTGCAAACTATTTCCTGTAAATAAAAAAAAAGGTGCTGACTGCCTTGATGGCCACAACTCCTTGGGTGCTGGACATCCTCAACTTCCTTGTCCATTATCCACTCAGTGCAATGCAGTGCCATAACTTGCCAAAACTAGACCCTAAAGCACCATGTTGGCAAGCTATTCAATGATGCTATCAACAGAGCAAAGTCTAATCCTGAACTCACTCAACATCCACACACTGACAATCATATAGCTTACTCACACAACAACCTGAGGGATCTTTCCAAATAGTAAATAGGAAAAAGAAGTCTGTCCAATTTTCCTTTCTCTAATCCATAGGCACCTGAAATCCATGTACTTTGGCTGCTTTGGTTAGGTCAACTGACATGGTGAAAACCTAAAGGCATGTTATAAATTTCCTGAAGCAGAACTGAGAGCACTCGTCTGTGGTATGTTTGGTGACAAGCATGCATTTAATCAGATGCAAAAGCAGAGACTCTGCCAACTTCCCATCTCCATCCCGATTAAAACCAAAAGAACTGCAGATGCTGTAAATCATGAACAAAAACAGAAGTTGCTGGAAAAGCTCAGCAGGTCTGGCAGCATCTGTGAAGAAAAAAATCAGAGTTAACATTTCGGGTACAGTGAGCCTTTACAGATGCTGTCAGACCTGCTGAGTTTTCCAGCAACTTCTAATTTTGTTCAACCCCAATTATGTCTGGTGTAAAATGATCTTTGGTGGCTTTACCACCCTGTCATAAATTGAAGCCTTTAAGTGGTCTCTTAATGTCCATTTAAGGGCCCCATCCTGCTGCTGATGAGGATGATGAGCAATAAGTGAAGATCTGTTGCATGTTGCGTAGACTCCAGACCAGACAGACCCGCACATTTAGGAGGAGAGTTAACAATGTGTGACATTCAGATATAAAAGTATAGAGCTCTCTTTCAGTCATTCTTTCTGGGTCACGGAGTCAGTGTAGTGTCTTCAGTCACCATTCATTTGTGCACAATGCACAGTAACATCAATTAGCAATGAACCTAGATTATCTACGTATGTGTGTGATAGTGTAGTCGTTTAATTGTGTTGTACATAAACTTTCAGACATACATCTCAACAAGAACCAAAATCTTTTAAGTATACATTATGTTAAGTAACATATTGAAAACAATAAAGCACATCATAGTACAGCAAGTCAGCACTCAAACCTAGTTATGACAGCTATTTAGTGGCAGTAAGTGAAGGTTGAAAATGTGGCAGCAGTGTGCAGTTGTAAGTAGTCATTCATCAATCTGTCTGAGTCCATACGAAAGCTACAAATACAACTAAGATGAAAGTGTGATAACCAAATCTAAAGGCTACAAATCTGTATTGAAGCACAGTGAATACTTCATCTTTCTTCCTATCTTCCAAAAACAGAACTTTTTTTTACATGAGGGCAAGACAGCTTCAATTCCAAAAACTAGCTGTTTAAAAGTTGACAAACATCCCCAGACTAAGGAAGCAAACCTGAATTAACATACAGAGAGGAGAAAACACTTCAATAAAGTGTTCAATTTAATACAATAAAGAGGCCTTATGTGTTTCAGGACGTTAGTTGATTCTGCCGTTTTATTTTTATGAAATACCACAAACATTTTAACAAATGTATATGTGAGGTCAATACTGCTTCTCTCAGACAGAAAATGCATCCAGGCACAAGCTTACAACTTTTATGGGAGCAGCAACTTTTAAATCTTCAGTAATAAATGAAAAGAGCAGAGAAGCCAACAAAAGCACAGAAAAGCACACACTGCAACTGTGATTCTTTCACTAGCAAAAAGATGGAAAGCAATTCCCTAACAATAGACTAGCAAACCCATTGATGTTCTGCCAGAACTCCACTTTTTTTACGGAAAAATCGATCTTTACCAGCAAATGTAGATAACTGACAAAGAAAGAAAAGCAACCGATGTTCTTGCTTTGGGAAGCAAGATGTTGAGAAGAATAAAATCAGCCAGTAGTTGCATTGATGACTGAAAAGAACTTGCCAAAGCATATTAGATTTTAAAAGATCAACTTAAAGTTTGAGTCAATTTTAGAATATACAGGCCTGAGTTCATGTCATACTGACAACGGCC